ACAATACTGTCTGGATCCGCCCAGCTGCGTGAGTGACAGTTGGCTCTGCCTATCCAGAGGCAGAGCCAGCTGTGCCCGCCCCCTCCCCCGTCCGTTTCGCCAGCCAGCGCTGGCGGATCGGACAGGGAAGGGGGGAATCCCTACAGGGAGCCGTGTGTGACAGTCACGGCCCTCCGCAAGGATAGATCGAGAAGTTAGCGAGCGATGGTATGTGTTTGCTCACTTCCCGATCTACTGAGCCGACCTGTGATAGTTTCATTGTCACAGGTCGGTTTAGATTATGAGGCTGAGTGAAAATCAAGAAGGCGGAATCCTCCGACCTAACAGTCAGTCACATAACAAGGTGTGTGTGTGATATACAAAAGTATTCCTCTCTGCTTCATGGATGTGACCCCTAATCATTTGATATTCTCTCCCCAGTACCTGAAAGATGTCTCGTGCCCCTTCAGTGTACCGGAGCGTCAGGAAGCAATAGACTGGCTTCTGGGTCTTGCGGTACGCCTCGAGTATGGTGATAACGGTAAGTATGGTGATCTGCCTTCTTTATTGAGATAGTTTTTCAGTTTTGGATTGAGTGTGGAATGTTGGAGCCCGCGTGTGTCTCCTTTTTGGGGTTATTTCATCTTGCTTCCTGTTTGAGTGCCAGTACGTGATGAGGGTTAATCTCTCCAACTGGGACATAGCAACATATACCACTGTTATACAATGGGAAAGGATTAGAACCTCTCAGGTTTACTTTACTGTTTGTCTTCCTATATCAGTGACACCCTTTCCTTCATTTCCTGTGTTGGTGTGACAGGAACAGGAAGTGAGGGGAGCCACTGGCAGCGCTCAAACCTAACTGAGGTTCCACTCCTCTCCCATTCAAAGATGAATAGTTTTGGCTGGATTTGGGCTTTATATTTCAGTGTTTATATCGAGTTTGAGGTGCAAAGTATGAAGTCAACAAAAGTACAAAGTGTGACTCGCATAGCAGCATAATAAACATGTCCTTCGTAGGGCCAAATGTACAAATATAACTCATCAGTTTAAAGTAGAGAGAACCATTAGTAGCAAACAAAAGGCACAATATTAGATGGACAATATAATAATATTATTTTTGTTTTATTATTTACAATTTGTTGTCTTATAAATAGATGTAAGCAAAGTGCATTTCCAGGTTGTGAGCTGAACACACTTATATCATAAACAAATGGTAACAAGACAAGACGGCAGACTTCTTCCAGTGCTTGCTTTTTTTTTTTGTTTTTTTTTTATGGGGATGCCAAAAAAATATAGGCGATAAGTCTACCGGTCCCTTTAGGAACTCCGGGAAACTGCTACTCAACAAAACTTCAAAGGGGTTTTTTAGGTTCATCTCAATTTGTAGAATAGACACCAATCTAGAATTCCTGGATCTTATGGCAGGACTACCAGATACGGGTCTTATTTCCTTTTGGTGAGCATCCTCCTAAAACATCTAAAGAAGGCTTGAGCACCAACCTTCGCTGTTCTTGTCGGGATGAAGTATTGCCTGAACTTAAAGGAGAACTATGAGGTGAGTGAAAATCACTCATCCTCATAGTTCGAACCGACATGTGACAATGAAACCGTTGCATGTCGGTTCTATAGATCGGGAAGTGAGCGAACACATACCATTGCTCACTCACTTCCCGATCACCTCCCTGCGGTGACTGTCAGTCGCCGCATGGATTCCCTCCCTTCCCTCTCCGATCCTCCAGTGCTGACTGGAGGAATGGACCGGGGAGGGGGTGGGTACAGTTGGCTCTGCCTCTAGATAGGCAGAGCCCGCTGTCGCTCGTGCAGCTGGGTGGATCGCGACAGCATTGTCGGGATTCGTCCCGGCTGCGGCGCTCACTATATAGCTCGCTAATGCTGAGCTTTGGGTCACAGGAGGACGCTAGTATATGTCCTCACGTGACCCTTGAGAGAACTATGGGGAAAAACACTTGCCTGGAGGGGGCTTGGGGAACAATCTTTGCTGTTCTGGTCGGGATGAAGTATTGCCTGAACCTAAATGTATCATTTGCCCCCACCCAGAATTTATTCATGGAAACATTTGAGAGTTTTGTCGTCCTATCCTGCCATTCCTGAGTACCGAGAACTTTATTGAAATTAGTTTGGATTTGGGTCTTAAAGACCTCTTGATAGTCTGTGGCAGTGATGTGTGTCCTGAAGTTGGCCATACACTTAGATTAAGAAGGTTTCATTTCCCCCGTCTGGCTATTGTATTCTGAAAGTCATGTTGTGTCACTCTCAGAATACACAAGCTTTGGCTGCGGCTGATTATCAGCCACTGTTTTGGTTGAGAATTTTTGGACCGGCTACTTTGACATAAGTGAAATAATATATTGGCTTTTATTGAAGAGTGGGGTGTCGCTGGAGGCACACACTGGTCGGCACGGCATGACTCCAGACACCGAAGTTTGAGCAGTGTATGGCCAGCTTTAGTTTTAGAGTAAGAATTGATATTGCCCAGATTGAGATGATGGCTGCACAACCAAAACAGCCTGCCAGTTCTAAAGCTAATGCCCTGTTCCTTTCCCAGGGAGATGGGGCTGGTTAAGTTTGTTGGGCTGGCATTCAGAATGAGTTGCATCGAGAGCTCACACCTCACAGAACATGCTGTGCAGATACAGCTACTAGTTTGGCGGATGAACAATACAATGTACAGACACTCCTCCTCGGGTTACGTTCTGGAAAATCCATCGTAACCCAAAAATATTGTAAACCAAGGAGTCTACTTGTGTACTGTACTGCCGCTGTCAGCAGCAGACATTACACAATGGGAATCAATAGCAAGACTGCTATTGGTTTTTTCAAATTGCCATAGCCAATAGCAGGCTGGCTATTGAATCCCCACCCACTAAGAGGAGGAGTGGGCCTGAGAGAGAAGTTCTCTCTCAGGTCTGCTCTGCTCAGTAGGTGGGATCAATAGCCAGCCTGCAGTTGGAATTTTCAATAGCCAATAGCAGTCTTGCTATAGACCCCGGCTGTGTACATTCACCTGCGTACATTCACCTGCCGGCTGTGGAAGCAAGCCGCCAAGTGAATAGGGAAGCGGAGCGCCTCTGTGCCTTGTTACTTGAGAATTACTATTGCCTCTCAAACAACCAGAAACTACAGTTATCCGGAGCCTACCGATCCGTGGGTGCCATATAACTGGGAGTGTATTGTACAGTAAACTCCATTGTAAATTGTAATTCGATTGATTGCAACTCGAGGAGCATCTGTACTTATGCAAGGGAGCGGCTTCAGAGCCTGTTGTACTCCTCATCTCTATTCTACTGTAATAATGGTGAAATTTTTTTTCTTTCCCCCAAGCTGCTAAATACCAGGATGCAAAGCCACTGAACACGGAGGCCACAAAGAGTGTGGAGCCATTAATAAACCTGGATGGTATGTGCTGCTTGTGTGAATGAATTCAGTTGATGAATGTTCTAACAGAGCTGGTCAAACCTGTTAAGAAATGGCTGTTCCTTCTAATCTGCAAGGAGATTGGAGGGATGGTCTGTCCTTCCTAAGACTTACTTGGCAGTGTGTGGAATCTGATCTCTTTTCTCTGAGTCCTGAAAGTTGTTGGTGGTCTGCAAATGGTAAATATAACATGTTCCTCTGTAGCATTTCATATTTCCTAATAAAAAGAAACCCGCAGCTGAGAAAGTTGCAGCAGCCATTACTTTTAGAAAATGCGAGTTGCTTTGCTTTCTTATGGACTTTTAACACATTTTCCTGAAGTGTCAGCTTAAAGGTAACACTTCTAATCTGTATACTTGTTCTGTGTCGGCTCCTTAGAAAGTAATGAAGCCTTTGGAGCTGCTTTAAAAACTGGAGAACCTAGTATATTCAGTATAATGGAATCTAGGAATTCTTCCTGAAAAATAGCCGTGCAGTTCCTGTGCCTGGCCGTTCCTGTGCCATTAAACCCTCAGATTTTTTAACATAAACCAATACTGTAATGTGCGCTTTACTGTAATCCATGGTTGTTTCCCTTCTCTTTGCTGCTCTTCCTTTTAAATCCGTATCTCTTCTCATGCTGGGCAGAACTTCTGTTTTGCAGCAGACTGCGTTGTCTCTGGAATGGCTACATGGTGTATGTGTGCAGGTTCACAACATGAGCCAGCACTACAGGAAGAGGCACTCAGCTGCAAAGGGAAGTTCTCCCCTAGCATGAGAAGATATGATGATTTAAAAGGAAGAGCAGCAAAGAGAAGAGAAACTACCATGGATTACAGTAAGGCACACATTACAGTATTGGTTTATGTTAAGAAATCTGAGGGTTTAATGTCACTTTAAGCTGTATATCAGCAGTGTAACATCATCTGCCCCTGACTGCAAGCTTCACCAGATGTGGAGTGAGAATTGATGAAGTCACTAATGTGCCGTTCACGGTTCTCCTTGCTGGAGAGGAAACTGTACTTGAGGACCTGCAGTGCAAGGATCTCCCTGCTTCTGCTTCATCTATTCTTACCCCCCCAGTCATCAGATTATCAGTCATTAGGGGCAGCTCTGACATGAGGAGGCAAGGCCCTGACTTTACCAAGATGGCTGCCTCCCCACAGAGACACCGTATAAAGCAAGTCATGACAAGCCAATAACAGGGAAAAGATCAGCTGCCAGGCAGACCACATGTAATACTGGTGGGGTGTCCTTTGCCCTCTAGTAGCTTTTGTGGACACAGTTTACAGAGTTCAGGTCCTTTTTCTTAAGGGCCTGGTGACCAGTGTGCTATAGGGGGTTGGGTGGGCTTCAAGTTTCCTTTTCAATATTCAAAGCTATAATTTACTAACATATTCTCTTCATGTTCACTTTGCCAGCCGCTGTGATATTTACTTCTGTATTGTCTGTCTTGTTCTTCCTTCTCAGTGAACAACCCAGATTTCAAAGCTGGAGTGATGGCCTTAGCGAACCTCCTGCAGATCCAGAGACATGATGATTATCTGGTGATGCTTAAAGTAAGAAGCGACTCATCTCTGAATGATAACTGCATTGTTTACTCCATTATGATAAGTTTACTGTAGAAGAGTTAAAGTGGAACCATACTCCTCTCCCCTCGGTCACATCTTCACCCCTTTTTCCAGTTTGATTGGCCAGGCTGGAATGAGGGAACTCCTGTGCATGCACCCAGGCATTCATTATGGCATGAGAGATGCTGAGACTGTACAGGAAGCTGCATGTGCTTATTCAGAAGTAGATCGCGAGTAGACCGATAAGTTTGTTTTATTGGAGAAAAGACGTAGCATGTCTCCTCTGCAATAAAGAGCTCGTCTGCTGGCAGTTTTCTTATTTCAGTTCTGCTTTAATCACACAGGAAAGTGTCATTAATGAGCATGCGGAGCTGTACCCAGTAGCTACCTTTGCTGATGTTGTTTGACATTCCTGAGCAAATACACAGAGAAGCCGAGAACTACTTACAGAGAGGAATTCATTGTAGGTACCCCTAAGGAGGCAAAAGGGTGGTTATGGAGCACTGGAGCATAGTGTGTTATTTGTCCTATGCAGCTGGAGCTCACAGCCAATCTCTGTGCAGGATTCATCATACTGTGAGATGAAGAAACTTGCAGGATAGTTCTATATTAGAAGGTGGTCACAGCCAGATAATGTTGGGGTGGCCTATAGGTTTATTAGTTTGAACATGGTAAGTGAAGAGTAAAGCGATGTGTAGACAAAGGAGCACTTCAGCGTTCAGCGTGATGACATCATTTAGGGGCTTGTTTATAATGGAAAACAGATAACGATATCCGCTCTCCGTTGCACTTCACAGGGATGCCGCATACTGTGGCCCATCCATTAATAAAGATGACATATCCTACAGTGTTCTTGTGCTTAATGCAGCGGTCTGAACTCCATGATTTGAAGGAGAACCTGGTCTTGTGACTGAGGGGTCACCCTCTCCAATCACATTGTTCTCTCTGCTGCCGCAATTGTTTGTTTTTTTAATTTTTTTTAACAACTTCCTTTTGCTTACTGTTTTGCTTCACTGACTTCGCACCCCCAGACGTCAGCAGTGTGCAGTGCACGTTTGTAAGGCACATCGCTGTGTTTTATAAATGTGTTGAAGGTTCACAGATTTCCTTACTGGCATAAACCCCTTCACTCGGTCTTCTGGGTTTGGGATCTTTGGTCATCTTGATTGGCCGTGCCGGGATTACTTGACTCCCTCGCATATGCAGGACTCTGTTCACCGAGGCATATGTTGAACCTGTACACTAGGTTGGGAGTGCGCAGCTTGATGTACATTGTGAGGATCATTCCAGACAGGCAGGTAAGAAACCTATTATACCAGAAGGCCTAGTATAGGTTAAAGCATAGTTGTTATTTAGGCGAATGTTAACCCTTGCTATGCAGAGATTGCAAGGGTAGCTTTGAAATCTCCCTTTAAAGTCGAACTCCAGGCACAATCATCTTAACAGGTTCCATTTTCTTAGTAGCAGATCCAGGTCATGCAGACATACCTCTGTATCCTGCAAATTTCACATGCATACACGCTATAGGTTGAACTTGATCGACCTCTGTCTTCAACCTCATATACTATGTAAATTAGTTGTTTACAAGCCCAGGCTTCTCTGATGAAGCGCTGCAGGTTTTATAGACTCCAGCACTGCAGGCGTGTCTTTGCCCCCCTCCCCAGGCACTGTCTATATTGTGCATAGCCTGAAGGTGAAGCTGGGTGGAGTACGGCTGCACCCACTTGGATCTATAAAATCTGTAGCACTTACATGGAGTGGCAAGTAAGTAGAGTGGGAGCTGTACTAATCCCGCCATGTAAACAAACTCATTTGCAGGAGCAAGTCTTCATGACATGCTTGTGCCGCTGAGAAGAAAAAAAAATCTTTTGTTGCTGTAAACCTGTTGGTCTCGGTTCACACCTAAGCGTTGCAGGAACACGCAAAAAATGCGCATTTTGACGCACGTTTGCAAAACTCACACAGAACCCGCTTGTGTTGCTATTGCTAGTTAATGGCACCCCAACGGTGGGCAGCAGTACGCATGTTCGTCTTCCACCTTAGCTCGGTTCACACCTAAGCGTTGCAGGAACACGCAAAAAATAAATGCGCATTTTGACGCACGTTTGCAAAACTCACACAGAACCCGCTTGTGTTGCTATTGCTAGTTAATGGCACCCCAACGGTGGGCAGCAGTACGCATGTTCGTCTTCCACCTTTGCGAGTGTTAAATGTGGAATGCATGTCGCAGATTTTGCTACATGCGCTACTTTTTCGTGTTGGTTACGCATATAGGGACCCGTTGAAATCAATGGGGATGCCCAGCAAACGCAGAGAACAAAAGTGCGTGAATGCTACTCTAGATGTGAGCCGAGCCTAAAGGTAATAATTCCGGGCGTTTCCCAGCACTCTGAGCCCAGAGAGGTGGAGGATGCTGAAGGAACGTCGACATTCTGCAGGTACAAAGTTCTCTATACATTGATTTTGGATTGAACGTTCTTCTGGTTTGTAAAGATCTTCCCGTCTTATCACACAGGCAATACGAATTCTCGTCCAAGAACGACTGTCTCCAGAAGCCATTGCAAAATCCAACAGTTCGAAAGAGGTAAGATGCTTCCGAGTTCTCCTCTTCTTATTACCAAAGTCCGTCTTCTGATATGTGCGTGCAGAGACGACATGGCTTGTAATATGTGACTGAGATATTCTGTTTTTTCCTAGTCATCTTGCAGGACGGCATGTGAGACATAGGCTCCTCCTCTTTCACAGGAAACGCGTCACCCAATTATAAATAAAGGGACCGCCTCTGGGCATTCTCCTCAGTTATTGTGTTTCCTCTATCGGAGGAGGCGCATTGCCTTTTGTAGCTTGTGATCTTTCAGGCTCTTTCTAAGCTGATCTCCTGCCTTGGTCCCGGAGCCCCTCCTCCGTACAGGCAAGAGGAGGCCTGGTTCCGTGGTCTTTTTTTGTTCCCTAGAGAGGGTCATGACTGCCAATCGCATTTCCCCCCTGGTGGGCTACTGGCGGTGGACCTCTAAACCGGTCGGTGCCTCATGTGCAGCACTTCCACCCACTTGACCGTGTGATGTCACTTCGGGTAGGGGTGGCGCGATTTCCAGGCATCAGAGGCTCTCTGCACTCCAAGGTGTATTTTGAAAAGTTCATATTTACCACTTGCAGCCAGCAGGTGATGACTTGTACCCCAGAGGAGGAATTTTCTTAATGAGCAGAGGACACAGATGTGGGCTGACATGACACTGCCTTGCTCTATATTGTGTCGTGACCTGTGTAATTAAAAACACAATATTCTGTTTAAAACATTAATCTGATGAAATGGGGAAGCAGCTGAGGACATGACTCCCTTACACACAGCGTCTATCCATGTCATCTACAGTGTGCCATACAAGTAGACAACATGGCTCATCCAGGATCAGGACAGGGGAAGCTCCCATTTCATCTGCTTTGCTATAAACTGCTGAGGAAGAGGCCACACAGGCTGTGATTGGGGGGATTTGTGTGGCTTTAGTAAAATCTCAACCAAGCTAATAAAACCTTTATTTTTTTATTATAAGACCAATAATATTGTGAAAACCAGAGCAGCCAATCACAATTAATCTTTCTTGACGTACAGAAACCAGATCCCTGTGTCATGGTGCGTACTGTCTTATTGAATGAACTTGTTTATTGTAAATACACCGGACTGAACACCCCCAGCTAGGGATGCACTGGTACTCGCCAAATGCTCCCATGCCTAGCCCGATACTTCGGGTATCAGGAAGCCGGGCAGCGCGTCATTACACGCTGCCCAGCTTCCTGATTGGCTGGGAAGCCGGCTCCATGCTCTCGTCACGTCATGAGGTGTAATGACGCACTGCCTGGCTTTCTGTTTGGTCGGAAGCTGGCCCGTCAGGAAGCCAGGCACTGTGTAATGATGCGGCGCCCGGCTTTCTGATTGGGACTTTTGGTATCGGCGAGTACCGGAAAAAAAATATCGGTACTCTATACTGAAATACCGGTATGGGTGCATCCCTACCCCCAGCACATCTGGGCTATCCTGCCCCATTGCAATGATGAAGCCTTCTATAACTTGTGGTGACCCTTCATGCGATCAGAGGTCCTGGGCATTAGTCATGTGATCTGCGAGGGGCTTATGATATTTAGGCAGAGCTGGCCAGTCGTTGCTTTGTCCTCTACGCTCATCTCCCCCAGATGGCCACATCTGACCACAGAGGGACAGGTCATGCCATAGTGAGAGGACAGGATGGGGGTCAGGGGTTCATGCTGATATAAATCTTTTTGTTTTAAGATGAACAAGGAGTAGCCCAAGAGTTTGAGAGAGGGGTAACCGGTGTTTGTGTTCCAGCTTCCTCCTTCCTGCTATATCCTATTGTGTCTTCACCTCGACTCCCACTGCATCTATTTTAAACATGTCCTTGGATGTGGAACTCTGTATTGGAAGGGTTCTGATCCGGCGTGCTTTTGTTTTATAGTGTTCATATAACCTCCATTTAAAGATTTGTTTATGTCCACGCTGTCCAAGAGCTCCAGACAAATGTTTGTTCAATGTAATAAATCATAGACTGGAGATGTACTGACATGCGTGGGAACATGACTAATCCCAGTGTCTATGGCTGTGGATGAGTCGTGCTGGAAAAGTGGACAAGAGGAAGGGTTGTGCATAGTAATGGAACATGGGGATTGTTATTTGGGCAAGGACTTAACCCATCAATCATTATGAGGGGTTAACAGAGGCGTTTCTCAGATCAGGGACTCGGCTCATTACTGCAAAATGTCACATAGCTATAAATCCGGGGTTGATAAACTGCAGACCTCCCATCTGTGCTACGACTACAAATCCCACGAGGCATTGCAAGACTCGACAGCCACAGGCATGACACCCAGAGGCAGATGCATTATGGGATTTGTATTTGCACCACAGCTGGAGGGTAGAGTTTGCCTACCCCTGCATTACGGTAGTCGTAGCAGACTCTTGGCGCTGCCAGAAGAAAATAATGACCAGATAAGGGCGGCTATTAACTGCGACATCCAATGCAGCCATCTGGTGCTGGAGGCATTTGTTTTGGTACCAAAGGTGGTGCTAGTTCCAGGGCAGAGCGCAAGTTTGCAGCATTTCACTGAATGTCTGTCTGCCCTGGCACTGCGGGAATGGCCCCATCACTGACTCGGAACCTTGACTGGTCCTGTTACCACTGTTGTGCTTCACAAGGGATAAGGAAAGGCTGATTAGAGGATGCAACACAGCAATTGGTGAAATCCTAAATGTATAGACGTTGGCTGCTCATGAACACAAGCCTTCAGCTCCGCCAGTCCTGCAAATTGCACTTCAGTTTTATTCATTTCCTCTTTATGATCGTTAAGTCCCCGAAATCTGACAGCAGGGTCTGTGTTCCGTCTGCTCCGATGTATTTTCCATATGCATCTATTCTATAAGGAAATAAAAGATCTGCTCTTCCAATCATCTGCATCTTCCCATGTGTCTGGTCCCGGCTGCCCACCTTCCTTCCTTGTCAATCTGTGAAAACGTTTTGCACTTGCTGAATCTCATGCTGTCAGACTTGCTCTATGGTGCCGGCGGAAAATCCTATTTTATTAGCCTTAGGATAGAAGAGTACTGTGTCAAAGCACTGGATACAAACGTTTGGTAGGTCACGCCTATTATCTCTGAGCACATTTCAAAGATTATGGACTCTTTTGCCTGTTATGTCTACAGTGTATAACCGAGAACATCTTTCTTTGCAGGGTCTTCCTGTCGCCCTGGATAAACACACACTTGGATTTGATACTGGAGGTAAGGACTGCTTCTTCTCTTTTAATAATAACAATATTAATATTTAATATTAATATAATTATATAAAATATATACCGTAGTGTGTTTAGCAAATTGTAAATGCAGGATTGTTTTTTTTTTTGCCATCTGGGTCCCAGTCAAAAGATTTTTCAGCTCTTCCTGTTCAGTAAACCCGACAGGAAGTAAGTGCAAATCTGTCCAACATGCGTAAAATCTCCTCTGAGACAATTGTCACTGGAACAGGTGTCCCTATTAGCTTTTAACCCTATTCCTGTTCTGGTGACAACTCAAAAATTTACAAGGAGAATGCAAGCATAGGTACTGATGCACCTGTAAGGTGGTCATCTTCCAGGACCGGATGAATATGTACACAGTAAAAGGGACTGGAAGCAGATTAGACCATGTCCAGCTAAAGTCACCATATATACACTTTGTACCCTTGGAGTTCCTGCTCCATGCTGACCTAAACCCCCTTCTATTCCATGTATGTCTATTAGATGCCGTATTAAACGATGCCGCCAGAATCCTGAGATTACTTCATGTTGAAGAACTCCGAGAACTTCAGACCAAGATCAACGAAGCGATTGTAGCTGTTCAGGCAATTATTGCCGATCCCAAGACTGACCACAGACTGGGCAAAGTGGGCAGATGAGAGCCAATTATTGCCTCCCGCCGCCCTCGTACCTTCATCCAGGAAACGGCCAGCATGCGGCTCCGAGCTCCTCCCCTTGTATAGTTGTAACAAGGTAAAATAAAAAATCTTCCTGTTTGTTTCACAACACTTCTCTGTCTATTTCTGAGATGTAACCCCCACAGTGCTTCTCAAACTTGTCTTCTGGGGCGACTACATAGGTAATGTTTTCCAGGTCTCTTCACAGAATCCAAAGGTGGAATTCATTAATGGGATGTTTTAGTGCCCATTCACATCTGATTGTAGCATGCCGGAGCGTACATCCTATGTGGCCCATTTACAATGAATGTATTAGCAAGAGGCTTTGCATGTCTATTCTGCCAAAACCACCATTTCCTCGGGCTCCTAGCACCTTTTGTTGTTGTAGAGTACACAGGCTGTCGTACACGTGTAGTGAACAATTCTGGAAACCGCAAGATACTGAGAATGGAGTACTGCAATGCACGTCAACACAACATACACCTCTTGGGGTGTCATTCAAAATGAATGGCAATGCACCACCAGAATGTAACTGCATTTCACTGAGAAATGGCGCACACCCTAATTTTTCATATGAGGTGCGTACAAATACCTGAACAATCTGATTGGATGCAGGCATTATTCAGGTGTTTGGAGAGCCAGCAGGGCCGGCTGGCAAGACACTGAAGCTCGGCCCAGCGGGAGATTCCTCCATACACACAGCTTAGCGTAGATGGAGGAATCTGTTGCACTTTTTCCATCTGACCATAGAACATCTGCAGATAATCTAAGCAAAAGTGATTTTAGCAGCACGACAGCCAGTGAAATTCTCTTGTGTAGGTTAGACCTCCAGAAAATGAAAATTTGAACCAATCAGGTTCTGTTCTACAAAGAGCTACGCATACAGTATGATTTCCCCATCATACACCATGTTAAAAAAAAATCTATTAGCAAGAGGCTTTGCATGTCTATTCTGCCAAAACCACCATTTCCTCGGGCTCTCTAGGTGTATGGCCAGCTTTTAGTCTTCACTGTCATGGCCACATCAGTGCATTAGTGCCTCCATAGACTTCTGTAAGGCTGTGTCCTGAGGATGGAGATGGGGCCACCTCAGACTATTGAAGTGTATGGGGCTATAATTTATAGGTGGCATGGGGGGGGCGTGGGGTAGAGAAGACTTGCGGCACTGAATGTAAACAAACACAACCGTTGGATTGAATTTTGCATCTGTGGAGAATGAAAAGGGGAGAAAAATAAGTGAACTTTGTAGTAAAAAAGGGAAATCTATTTTAAAGCCGTCTCTTGAAGGAACCTTTTTTGCCACCTTAGAAACGTTCAAGCCCTTGTCAGGTTCACTTTAATACCCAGCACACCCCTAGCTGGCAAATCCGTATTAATCTGACCCCAGTAATAAGGAACCCAGCCGTAAAGGAAAAGGATGTTTTATTGGAATTACCTGTGAAGTGTTTGATTGTACAGCGGTTTCTGAAGGTGTGAATGGGGTACAGTTACTCGATAGCTGGTTGGGTTTTGGTATAGGTAGGACACAGCCATATACAGTTAGCTATTTCACAGTAGACATCTTGTTTATAATATGAACTGAAATCTACATAATTAAGAGATTAAAAAATTAGATATAAAAAAAAAAAAAATTCGGCACCATTAAAATCTTTGAGTTAAAAAAGTAAACACGATACAGATTTAAAATTAACCTCCTTCAGCCTGAGATTTCCTTTTTTTGTTTTGTTACAATGCCTCTCACATCTCTGCGGCTGATCCGGTTAATGGACGCATCTTATTCATCTTTACAGGTACAAACATTTTCTTTAAAAAATACAGTAGTAAAAATTGAGGTAAAAAAAACTTTACACATTATAAATTTTTTTGGAAGGAAATTTGTTCATATTTTTTTTTCTTTTTTTTTCATTCTGGTTTATGTGTCGCTTTTATTTCGTCCTTCTGCTTCTCGATCCTTCTCAACGGAGCCAGAGACGAAAGGGGGAGGAAAGTCCTCCTTTAGCGGTATTGGCCTTTTGCTATCGTCGCATCACTTCTTTCCTGCAATGTACAAATATGACAATGACTTTTATTGTACTCGGGAAAACAATATTTGTTATTTAACCATATTGAGGGGAATTTATCAAAACTGGAGCAGCTGTGCATGGCAGCCAATCGGCTTCTCTTCATTTTCAAACCTTACCTCAGCAAACGAAGAGAGATGCTGATTAGTTGCCATAGGCAACTGCTCCCAGTTTTGATACATTGTAAATACTGCTGGCTTCCTGATTCCATATTCATTTGCCCACCCCTACTCATGGCAGAGTGCAGTAGTAAGGCCTCATTCACATGGTGTGTGTCCAAGTGCGGGCACCTGGTCCTCTTAGGTATGTACAGGTGGCTTCACACAATTACACTCTGCACCTGTCCTTCCCAGGAGCAGGTCTCTGCAGGGGCATGCACGCCATATGGATGTGCATGAGACCGAAGACGCACTTGCTTGGCTCATAAATGGCCTTGGCGTGGAGACTGAATAAAATATAATAGGAGATCCAGAGTTTTTAAAGTATAATTGCTGTTTGGTGGAATAAAGTACTCAATACAGCTTGTCAACCATATGCAGTCCGTTTATTTGACTGCTGCAGTCAAAATAAATTGCAATGCTTTCCTATGGGCTTTCTTGTGCTGAATTCACACTGCAATGGTATGAAGAAAGCCCATAGGGAAGCATTGCGATGTATTTTGACTGCAGCAGTCAAATAAACGGGGTGCGAATTGGCCCTAATGGTTTTCCTTTTTGTTTCTGACAAAGTATGTTGTCACTGGGATTGCCCCTGGTCACAAGTTTTGGGATGCGGTGAGGTTGCTCGCTGTCATGTGCTGTAAGCCAGAATAATACAGAGTTTGCTTGTCCCAGGACTGACGCAACGAATGATACTGATCTGTAACTCTGATTACCGGGACCGGTCTGTACCTGACAGTCCTAAACCAGCTTGGTCTGGAACAAAGATAAAGCATTTATATCTGTGAAGGTTCTCAATGATCCAGGTCAGGGTACAGCTAGCAGTGGTTAGTCTCATTAATCTGGACTTCTGTAACATTGAAGACATTTCCTGCCTTTTGCCAAGTTTATAGTTCTGATGAGTGTCGGGGAATACCCCGACATTTCTATCCATACAGGCGGCACAGACCCCTTTAACGCAGAAATGTGGGGGCATTTTCCTGACACGCATCAGACCTAAAGAAGTGGCTTGGATAAGCTATAAAATGCCTTCAGGCTTGTTCACACCATATACAGTGCGTTCCAGCACAAGTCCAATGCTGGAACGCACTGTATTGAATGCTGGTGTGGGTGGGGGGGCATGGCTGCAGTGCCATTGACTTTAATGCACTGCCATGGTGCATTAGTCAATGGCACCGCAGCCACACGCAGCACATGGATGCCTGCGTCCAGTCCGATCAGAAAAAATTGTGGTTGCAGCATTTTTCTGGTTGCAGCATTTTTTCTAGCGCAACACAAGAAGAACGCAGGCACTCGTGCCACATACTCTCGTGCAGGCGATCACACTGCGGGTGGGGGGCATGGCTGCAGTGCCATTGACTTCAATGCGCTGCATGCCTCCTCCACCCCTGAACGCAGGGAGCTGGCCGGGATGCAATACAGTGCGTTCCAGCAGTGAATTGTGCTGGAACGCACTGTATAGGGTGTGAACAGGCTCTTCAACGTTACAATATCTCTATAGGTTGCACTCGATGGACTTGTCTTTTTACAACCTGACTAACTATGTAACAAGTTCAGCTGAATGTGACTGTTACTAGCTATAAAGTATTCTAGTTACCCGCTCCTGACACTTTACCCACATTGTGTCCTGTTACTTAGACAAAACATTAGGTGTCCTTTGAGGCTGTAGATGCAAAGTGAGGGGTGCACAGTACACAATGGTGACTCACCAGAAGGACAATATGGATACACTGCTGTTATTCCATAGAGGTGTGATCGCTGTTCTGGGAGATATTCCTCTGTGATCTGTCCATTGTCTTTATGTATGGATATCACTCCATCCCTGGAAAAAAGAGAAGAATTGAGTTCCAAAGTTCTCTGATATGAGGCAGCACGAATAATACATGTGGGTGAGGTTTCTGATATAAATGTGGGGCCGGCCAGCTTGGCAAAACCTGAAAGGTTCTGAAGTTTAAAACGTCAGAAAAGGATGTGAATGGCAGGTAAGTTGAAGCCAAGTCTGATCCGGTAAGTCTGGAAGTGAATGTATGTCTGATGAATATTACTCTTATCTGTTGTACAGGATGTGGGAATGTCGGCCGGGGGCCACCAAAATGTTTGCCGAGTCTGAGCATTTAGCAGACCAGCATGTCTGTTACTTACAACTAGCACCCATGTTCAAAGACACTTTCACTTTAACCATTCAGGCGAGGGTGACTGTGTCTGTGTGTACTCCCCTGACCCTACTGATGCACACCGCTACAGCTTATTCTTCCTTCATAGCCAGCGCATAATATCTGCTACATCTGGGGAAGCAACCTCCCTCCACCTCTGCAGCAGACATCAGAATGCCCAATGTTGGCTGCTGGGGGACACTAGAGGGGGAGAGGTGACTTTGCTCCCTTGGTCATGAGGTGAGCACTGTCACAAAGTCTCTCTACTAGTTGTGGAGAATGATTGATTGTTTTTCAGCTGTGTAGCATGGCCAAAGTACAGCTTAGGGCATGTGTAGTACATCCCGTCCTTCCTTTCCCCTCCTCACGTTTGTTTGCCTGTAAGGCCCCATTCACAGCGGATCTGTTGTGTTGCCATCTGTTTTTTAATGGAGGCTAATGCAAAGACAATGAAGAGTGAATGGGGAGCAGCGTTGCATCGCTGTATCTTGCTCTGGGAGAGAAAAAAGGGGCATACTTTTTTTTCTTCAGCGCAACACAAGAAAAACTTGTCGACAAGTCAACCGTCCCGCTGTTGACTTGCAAGTACATTCCAATTTTGGTGTGAATGCACCCTTAAGGGCTTCTTCACACCACTGACGGTGCGTTCCAGAGCGGTTAGCTGCTGGAACGCACTGTATCACATACCAATATTTATACTTACTGATACCAGCACGTCCGTTAGCATGGAACCAGCTTCTGGCCAATCAGGAAGCCAGGCAGCGGGTAATGACTCTCGCCCCAGCTTCCTGATTGGCCGGGAAGCAGGCTCCATGTTGCCTCAGGGCACTGCCAGTCAGTGCCCTGTACAAAAGCTGTATTTGTCCAAAAAAAAGAAAAAGAAGTATATGTATTACTTTTAATGAAAAAGTTATTGCCAAATCAACAGGCCTACTGCAGAATCGTAACATTTGCCCTGGGCCCTGGCTAAGGAGCAAAGGTCAACTTACACTTCCAGTGATGGCAACTGTGACCATATGGTCAGCCCCTGTATTCAGATAGGAAGGTGTAGACTCAGGTTCTCAGTAGTCTGCTGGAATTCTTTTAAAGGCCAGTCACCCATTAGTGATTATATCCGTTTCAAACAAGTTGGTGTGCTGGATTCATACGGCACTTAGTGACGCCACTAAGGAGACTTCCCTGCCCTAGGTACTGCCTCACCATAGAGGATCAATGCTCCTGCTCCATGACATGCATTCCCTACTCCTGTAATATCAAATAAATGAAGAATCCAAGGGGGTGAGTTAGACTTTCCTTCTAAAGGCCAAGGTGAGCTAATAAACCCTTGAATGTCTCTTCAGCATCTGCTCAAAAAAATGTAAATACTAGTTTTGGGTGAACTGATCCTTTAATGTGAAGCTGTCAAGTATATCGACACACATTCTGCTAAGTGCCTTGATCATGCTTGTCTATATATGCCTGGGGAGCATGCCCTACACAGGGCCTAAACATCTGTCTGATTTGGAGCTTAGTCCATTGTGGGTCCCCACTGGTTACAAAGATTCTAGCATTGAATTATTAAATGGTGGGGCTCAGCTGATGTCAGCCAGAAGTCGTTTATTGAAGCTGATCACCTGCGTGCTACACTTAGGGTAGAATATCTGTACAAAATGATGAACGGGACAGATTGGCTTGAACTTGGTAAAGTTGTGAATCAAATCTAAAGCAAATAGTCATTTCCCATTTCCTTTCTCACCTCCTCCAGTCCGTATGGTAGAAGTGACTGGCATAACCCACAATGCTGAAGGGATAATTGAGGTTACTCTGTATCACGCGCCGTCCACTGCCATTGGATAAAATACATTCTAGTTTCTTGGTGCCTATATTGAGGGGGGGAAAAAATATATATATATATATTGTACAATTATCCCCATGAACAAAACATGACACGCTGCGTATTCCTTCATACTAAACAGTTGATGGGAGTTTCAATAGTAGGAACTATAGCACAGACTTTCTGCGCCCATATTTTGCGCCGCCTGCCTTCCATGTTGAATGACAGCTGAGGCTGTCCTGTATACATCCCCTGAGGGTGTATCCACCATGCACCCTGGGCTCCTGAACAGAGTGAGGTCCTTACAATATTATGTGAGCACTGTGCAGTCCAGCAAGAAGGACCACCACCGCCTGAGGAGACCAGCGTGAAGATATGTTTAAAAGATGAATGCCCTTTAAGACAAAATGCATTTATTTATTTTTGCCCTTTTACCCCGACCTAACCAAAACCACCCTCTGCAGATACCTACACACCTTGATCCAATGACTGCGGCCTCAAGTGCCATGGGTCTCGCTCCCTTGACTGCTCCTGTGCATACAGTCCAGTACAGAGGGACCTTCCTATAAAAGTCTATGGCACTGTGATGCATAGGCCAGGAGAGTGAGACTTGCAGCACTGGATATAAACAAAGACCAGAGTCTGCGGCTAGAGTTCTTCTTTTCATAACTGGTATCCACACTGGTCACACTACCCAAGTACACACGGGCCCTAAAAACATGCTCTGAGTGATTGATCTGTTGCAGACCTCCACGTGTACATGTGTAACCAGAAGCAGTCAGCCCATTGCTCATCTTCAAGGATTCCACACACAGTCTTAAGGTCCCCACACACCGTACAATAATCATGGGAAATCCCACGATCGTACGATTATCGTAAGGTGTGTGGAAGCTGTGCGACCTCTACTACTGTAAGGTCGCATGACTTAACTTACGGACATGTTCGAAAACCCGCCGAGCATCGTACGATGTTCGGCGGGTTTGTGGCATGTTCGTACGATAAAAGCCATACGGGCCGGTGTGCGCAAGCGCCAACTGCCTGTTCGGCATTGCGGTCATCGGAAGCCCGCCCCTCAGGGGGCATGGCTTGTGATCATCGCAAGTACGATCTGCCTATGCAAGATAGGCAGATCGTAAGTTTTTTTAAGTACCTTACAACCATCGCAAGACAAAAGTCTTGCGATGGTTGTAAGGTGTGTGCCCAGCCGTTGTCACAGCAACCATAACAAGCTATGACTCCCGGGGTCTGGTGTAAGTCTGAAATGTGTCACCGGATCCGTTTTACTCTTTTTACCTCTTTGTAGGTTGCTGGATTCTGCTCACTTACATATGATGGGATATCCCCCTTCATACAGTCTGAAGAATGGCGACAATAGATTCTGAGAATCAAAAATTTGTCTAAAAAGTAAACCGTAAGCTAGGTTACCCATCGCCCGACCGCGCCCCCTCCCCCCCAAAAAAAGGTGTGTTACATTAAATAGGAGTACCTGCATCTGCCCAACATATTTGTTTGGAGAACGGATCAAATGTCAGTCCATTGGGTAAGCCAAGATTATCATTGACCAGAATCCTCCTGTTTGAGCCGTCTATGTAAGAGGTTTCGATCTTTGGGGCCTCTCTGTTCCAGTCAGTCCAGTACAGGTTCCTGCGAGGGGCAAGAGACAGCAATGGAGGGGCAAGAGACAGCAATAAGTATCTGTGTTCCATTGCAATCAACTTCTTCATCTGTGAAGCATTGCCGCATTCCCAGCACATTGCAAACCACGGCTTAGTTGTTGCTTCTTTCCCAGTCAATACCTGTAGGCTGTGCAGGGCCTCGCTACAAAAACCACTACGAAGGCCACCGCCACCCCTGACTCCTCCCTCTGTTCTGTTGGGCATCAGAAGTGTTCCCCCAGCATGTGCTCTGCCTCCAACACCACACACGTGCAGTGCAAAGTGAAACATCTCTATGGTTTAACAGGGGTTGCCAAACTTTGACCCTCAAGCTGCGGTGTGATTCCAAATCCCATCATGCACCTGCCTCTGGGAGTCATGCATGTGGCTGTTAGACTCTTGCAATGTAATAGGATTGGTAGTTTCACCGCAGCTGGAGGGCTGAAGTCTGGTTACTGCTGGTTTAGTATAGGAACCTTACTGTGAGATGGTCACATTGTGTGTGTACATCCGATGGCTGCAGCCAGCTTTACTTACCCTCGTACAGAGTCCACAGTGATAGCACGGGGATTCACCAGGTTCGTGTCAAACAGGGTTTTCCTGCCTGTCCCATCCAGCCGGGAGCTCTCAATTTTATCAGTGCCGCTGTCAGTCCAGAAGATGGTTTTCCGCAGATAGTCGATGGCCAGGCCTTCCGGACTTATCAGATCTACAATAGAAACATCGCCGCAAAAGCTTAATAGACTGAATGCAGCACTTCCTATACACATCATGACTCACAAATCACATACACTTCTAAACTGGACCTAGGACACGGGAACTTTGCAAATCCATGTTATGTGTTCATTAATAAGATCAACTTCCTGTAAATTCTGCCAAACTGCTGAAAGCTTTTACGCAGGAAGTGCCTCAAATCTGGCTATTAATGTTCTCAGTCAATTATGATGATCACATACAGATTGGTGGTTCATGCACAAAATAAACCATTAACCTGCAGATGCATCTGAAACCTACAGGTGGCAGTGTGCCTCTATTTAATACCAATATTGACAGATACAGTTACAATGTTAAAAAAAAAATAATAAAAATTCCCATATTCTTCAGTCTATATTGAATAACCTAAGAAAGATATTCATTAAAACATTGTATTAAATAGAAGTCTAAGCCGGACTCGCACATCTGCATTGCAATAACACACAGTAAACGCGACTGATTTTGAACGGTATTCCAAATGCACCTCAATGTAAGGATTTGTGTGGTGATGTGGTGGGGAAAAGAGTGTAGATCCATTTAAAGGTCGAAATTAATAAAGAATATGCTGCCCTGCTGCAACACACGTCAACATGCATGCTGTAATTCACTGCAAAAGCCTGAATCTGGTCTCAGATGCCCTTATAAAAATATGAAGTAAACGAGGGACGGACAAACTAATATAGGATTCAAAAGCCAGACTGCCCAATCCAGGAACCAGCAGGATTTGTATAGGGGCCACTGGCCAGCTTCATTGACAACAACTAGAGGAAGCCTCAAAAGTTAGGCGCCAGCTGTAATTTGTAAGGAGCATTGGCGACCTGGCTTCTGGGATTTGTCCAGCACTGTAGTAAAGTAAATGAGTCATACAGTTACTGTGATACTAACCGACACATACAGACACTGCAAGATTGGTCCGGGTATCTAGGCTTCAACGACCTCTGGTCATAAAGGGGTTCATAGGGACACGGTGGCAGCCATTATGTAGCACAAGCATAATACATAGTTGAATATTACAATTCATTGGAGGGGATTTGATCAAAACTGGAGCAGTTGTCCATAGCAACCAATCAGCTTCACTTTTCAGTTTGTTCAGTTACGTTTTGGAAATGAAAGAGAGAAGCTGATTGGTTGCACAACTGCTCCAGTTTTAATCAAATCCTTCTCATTATGTTTCTACGGGTTAGCTTATTACAATCATCTACTTTACAGTTGTATTTACATAAATGAATTTGCAGTGTCCATCGGCTGTGGGTTATAGTTTTTTGGATTTCATTGCCAAAACGTTACCTGTGCTGATGATGACTTCTGGTTCTGCTCCAGGCTCCAAGCCTGCTCGGCTGATTGTACGTCCAGAGACGTCTGTCCAGTACACTTTCTTCTCCTGGCAGTCATAATCAATGCCCACGACTATGGAGCCCTGAAAAGACACACAAAGGGCCATCAAGCCTCTTCCATGGTTGGAAACTTGCTATTTACAGAGGACCTTGCTAGAAAAAAACCCCCTCCTCTCCCCCCAGAAAGCATCTTAAAGTCCTCCACTTGTCCAACCTCACCAGATCCTGCGGTGAGTCACTGACCCAGAACAAGCACGCATCACAGTCAGATCAGATCTCCTTTGAAGTGTATGTAAAGCTTTTATTTGTCCTGATGACCATTGTCACCACGAGAGCAAAGTGATGGACAAAAAGACTTTCAATGGGACAGTAGATGAGAGTGAATCTTCTGATGGAGATACCTGTTCTGGTGACCACTGTCATAAAGGGGATTACCTTCACTTCCTGTTGCATCTCATGAAAAAGAAGTGAAATTAAGGGGTCTATTCACAAAGCTGCTGAGGGCAGCCGAGTGAATGACCGATCAGAAAAAATGGGACAAAGACAGCAAGAATCCTCCATACTCTAGTTTTGGCGATAGATACTCTCTAAGTGAGGTCATCAGTCTAAAGGTAAAAATACTCCCACGAGATCCCCAATATGTGTTGCTGAATTGCCCGATTCCAGGACTGTCTAAAGCTTTGGATAAATGAATTACTTTCTTTCTGTTGGTAGCCAAAATAACCATAGCCAGGCTTGGAAAACACCAACAATTCCATTCCACTTGGTCAAACAAAAAATGTTGTGGATTATGGTCCATGAGAAACTTCACAGCATCCTCCAAGATAATAAAAAAAGTTTTGAATTGACCTGGACCCCCTGGTTGTTATATACAGGGGTGCTGGAAACCGGGTAATTTTCATTGTACAACTTTTCTGGAATTTTTCTCTGGGGACTATGTTTAAGGTTTAAGTAGATGTTGGGCTATTTGGTCGGGGAATAAAAATACATGGCTTGAGTCTCTGCAAGCTGCACAAGAGACAATCAAAGGATTCCACGGATGGAGCGATCACCACTGCCGGCCATTGTATTTAGGCACCTGATAGGAGGCAGTCACTGTTTGGCCAATCATTTTCCACCCAGCTCAACAAAAGTTGACTGAAAAATCGACAAAGCCGGGTGGAAGCCGTACCAAGCTTTTTCAGCTGAGTGAAATCCCTGGGTCAGACCTAAGGCTAGGTTCACACCTAGGCGAATGAGCCGACCGCGTGGTCTTCAATGCATAGAGAGGTCTATGGGACCACAACCGCCCGAAAATTGCTCCTGCACCTTTTTGCACAACAGGTGATTACGGCCGCAACGCAAAGGCGTGAACAGGGTTAAACACTCATTCTGGCGGGGGAGCTTAAATAACAAAGTTCTACTGACCCGAACCACGATCCCGGCTTGCTCTTAGACCAATGCCTTCAGCCACGCCCCCTCCTTGCTCCAGCATTCTAAGGCCCTGTGAGTCATCATGTTCTATACACAGTGTATAGCACAAAAGGACACTGAGGGGACATGCCATCGCTGGAGCGGAGGGGATAGGCCAGCCGGGATCGCTGTTTTCGGGTGAGTAGAACTTTGTTATTTTAGCTCCCCAGGCAAAATGAGCACTTAACCCTTGCAGTG